CATAATAATGAGCATTCATTTAAAATATTGATAATACTTGTATTAATTGATGTAAATACTAATTAAATACTTTTATCGATAATATATTATCGAAAATAAATGCGAGTAATTAATCATATATTTTCAAGTGATTGTTACGGATAATGAAAAATTATTGGTACAATAAAATAAACGTGATAATGAAAATAACGAGATACAATTTTGAATAATTTTTTTTTCAAAAAACAAATATATTAATTTATATATCTTTCGAGAGATAAGATAAACTTATATTGAAATAATTGAAAGTGATGACATTTTTAATATTTTCTTTTAAAAAAGGAAAGAAAAAGCGAGAGAGAGAGCTGTTAGTTGACAGCTTTAGAACATTAATTAATCACTTTAAGCTGAACATTTTCAGCAATTAGTGTACTCATTCATGTTTATCACTGTCATTTCGTTTCGTTAGTTTTCATTTTTACACAGAACTCAGGTGCTGTTCGTAAGAGCGAGGACCAATTAGTAGGAGCTTAATTTTAAAATTTAGTAATTGTCAAAGTGTTAATAATAAACGAAACTTCTACGTGGTAGACGCATGTAACGTGGATTGAACGAACTTTCAAAACCAAACGAATTACTATGAGTCAAAGTGCATGATAAATTATGATTTATAAATAAAACTGTTTTGAACGCGCGTTGAAGTTTAATATCAAATAAAAATGAAAACAAACAAAAAAAAAAAGAAAATAAAAAAGAAAAAGAAACCTTCCAATTATTATTCTTTTAAAATTAATTAATAATCGTTGAACCGCGTTAAAATCGATTGAATAACAAATTAATTACGTAATTTCGAGTAGATTTAAATTTTATTTTATTCGAAAATTTATTTGAATTTTTTTTTTCTCTAATTAAGAATAAAAATAATAGAAAATTATTTCATTGGATTTTATCAAAGAACGAGAATATAATATTATGATAAAAATCATTTTGTGTTGAAAGAAAGAAAAAAAGAAACTAACATATGACTAATAAACAAAATAATGATAATAATAATAGATACTATTCTAATTCATAATTCGGTTTAATTATGTTAATTCCTTTAATTATCGTATTAGAACACAATAGGGAGAGAGAGAGAGAGAGACGTCTTTTGGTTCGTAAACTTGACAGGCATCTCACGTAGGAAATGTCTTTAACGTGGTGATTAGAACACAAGGCAGAAACTTCAGCAAACTGTAACCAAATGGAACCTAATTATCAAAAACGAATTATTTTCGACACGAATTCAAAATTTCTCGTTAATTTTTATTAAGCGTTCTTTTGTTGTACATTCTTTTCGTAGTTTTTTTTTTTATTTCAACCAGAACTTAATTGTTTTAATTTATATTCTTGACGTGTGTGTGTGTGTGTGTGTGTGTGTTTAAAATTACAATCAGATATAACACGTATACTCAATAATTCCTTTTATAAATATATAATCAATTATCTATAGCAATTATCAAGAAGGAAAAAAACGATTTAATGACATTAAGAAAATAACAAAAAGAAAAAGGAAAAAATCTGTTCACTAATATGACAATAAAGAAGATTACTAATTATCCGATAACGATCGTGATTCGTCAACAAACAACGATTCAAATTATAAAATCCAATTATAAAAAAACTATTCGACAATAATTGTCGGGAAAAAGAAAAATGATCAAAATATCTCAAATGAATGAAAAAAGAAAAAAGAAATATACGACATCTTTATTATTATTAAAAAAAAAAAGAAAATAATAATTCTTACTCTTACGATACTACAATACTTGTTGCTTTTTTGTTCGAATTTATTTCGAATAAGTGCACGTATCCGTACTCGTTTGTAAAAAAAAAAAACAAAAACATACACACACACATCGAGATAAAAAAATAAGATTGAAGAAAAGCAATTGGTTAGTTTCGGATTAAAGGGGAAAGGATATATACACTCACACATACATACACACACATACATTATAAGACAACCGAAGAGAATAATGAATTAAAGCTTACACCACACATAAACACGGATATAATATATATATACATATACTTATATAATACGTTAGTGTGCGTGATAATAAAACGAAGCGAAAGATAGTAAACTACCAGGTTGTTCATTCGTCAGGTGGCTACTAATTCATATCAATCTCTATTAGAACGCAAACATGACTTTGGTTAAACCAAGAAGAAGATAGTTGCTTTCAGTATAAATCCGCAATATTGCCTTCCAGTTTCTTCTCTCTCTCTCTATTTCTCTCTTACTCACTTCTTGTAAGTTCTATTAATGTTTTCTTTCTTCCGTTGCTTTCCTATCTTCTTCTCTACCCCCATCCCCAGCCACTCCCCCCCCCACCCCTTCAACCTAACTCTTATCCTTTTATCCCACACACGCAGGTCATTTCTATATTTACTTTTAATAAGCTAGCGAATCTAAAATCCACTCACGAGATTTGATTTGCGAATCGGTGAAAGCATAATTCATAGAACGCACGCGCAAATTCATCAAAGTTCTTCTCTCTCTCAGTCTCTCTCTCTCTATCTCTCTTTCTATCTCGTTGACCCAGTCTCTTCTCTTCTAAGATTTATTTACCTTTCGCCAATCTTTTTTCTCTCCTTTTTTTTTATTTTTATTTTTTATTTTTTTTTATTCAAATATCCTACACTAATTAAAGAGAACGTTATCTTATATTTTCGTGAATTAAACAAAAATATATAAAGAATAATAATAATAATCGGGTCAGGTAGATCCCCATTCACGGATTAACACAATTTCAATACACATACAAACACACACACGAGATAAACTATTATTATTATTACTTTCTTGATCTTTCATAAAGAACAATGCGTGTTTCAATCGTAATTCGTGAGAACGAGACTATTTTTTTTCCCTGAAAAAAGGTTTTCGTTGATTGTTTTATTGTTTTACTCTCAGGCGATGAAAAAATATTATTCAAATTTTATTGTTATTAGTTTCGATGTTAGAAACTAATTGGTATCTTTTTTTTTTTTTTTAATTGTTCGTATATCTTTCTACGGTCGATTATCGTTGCCGAAAAAGCAAATTTTACATTTTTTCATATTTATTATAAAGTGTTTCTACGTAATTGGTGTATCAAACTAAAATTTAGCAGCACTCTCTCAACGATAAATTATTTAAAATGAAAAATATATATATTAATAGAGCATGATTACGATGTTTTTCATAATTTACGTCAACGATCAGTTGCAAAGAGCGAATTGATTGCGCATGTATAATGAAAAATTATAAACGCATATTAATAATTATCGATTATTTTTTTGAATGTTTTAATATAAGAATATTAAATAATACATTTGTAAAATTCGTATAATAATTTTAAACGTAATTAGGGACTATTAATCAACGCGTTATTTTTTATTTCTTTTGTATAAATATATATATATGATACATTGACATGAGTTGTTACAAATAATGTTACAATATAATTATTACAGTATAACCATATTATTATATAAAAAATTGTATATTTTTTTTAATGTTTTAATCCTTACTAGTTAAATATATAAAAAACTGAATACTATCAAAGTATTATATTAGAGTAAACCAAAAGTTCGTTCGTTCTTATTCTATTATAAATTGTATATTATAAACTGCATAATGGATTATTATTTGTGTGTATAAAATTAACTTAGAAAATATCAATTAAAAATACACTAACTTGTGGTTAACCTTAATAGTAACTTGTATATTAATTATCGAAGTAACTATAGATAATCGTCTAGCTTATTTCATCGAGGTAAGGTTGGTAATACTATTCGGTCGTTGCACAAAGAGCTTAAACACAGTTGGAGTATAATAAATGTCCTAGCTAGTGCATGGACTCAATGAAGGTCGTTCCATCTACGCGAGCGGTTTCGTTAACGCAAGCGACATGATCTTGACCGATTACTTTAACGTCCTGGGTGAAACACTGTTAAGGGTTTCACACAACCTTGCATCAAGTTCAACCGAGAAACTCGTTAGTCAATGGCATCGACACGGAAAAGGAAAGAGAATGAGATCGTGTTTCGTCATCTCTTGTTGACTTACGATTCGTCAATTAGATTTCTACTCGTTGAATTGGATAGATCTCTAAACGATATTTATTATTATTATTATTATTAATATTATTTTCGATATACAATATAACACAAACAAATATGTTCTCATTCTTTTTCTCATTTCGTGTAAAAATTATCATACGCGAACGAATTTTAATAAAACAATAGAAATTACTTCATACAAACGTAACGAAAAATGAATCCCCGTTTACTTTCTCGAACTATGATTGAACAATTTATTTTTTTTTTACTACGTTATATATATACGATTCGATCGATTAAAAAATAACCAAAAAATTCTCTTCGTAAAAACATAACATACGTTATTTCTTTTCTTTCTCTCTTCTCTTCTTTTTCTAGATAATTTAGTTAAAACGATTCGAATTATTCCGCCAACTTTAACTTCAGACGAATTTCTAGTTAAAGATATTTATAGAAATGGCAACATCACCAAGCCCGATGGTATTTCTTCGAACAAAGAGTTAAAAAGCAGCATCACCACCACTACCAGCAACAGCAACAGCAAACTCATCGTCCGTCGATCGTTGGAAAACATTTTCCTAGCTTATCGAATTGTTGGCCAAAAAATTGATGATTATAAAAATAAGTCGTCTAAATGAAAATAAATAAAAATAAAAGTTGTCCAAAGGAACGAAGGAACGAACGAACGAACAAACCAAAAAGAAAAACAAACACATCAAACAAAGAGGTGATTTTGCTAAGAACGGACCGATTGCGTGCGATAGCTAACGGTCAACACGTGATCGTATATGGGTTAGTCAGCATGCGTTTGTATGTGTACACGTGTATATACATACACACGTAACACGAAATGATGCAACGAACTTGGTGTGATTTTTTAACAGACTGGCCTCTACCGGGCTGAGCTGAGTCTTTCAGTATCACGACGTCGACTGACCATGTCGCACGGTTTTTAACACGACTGAGAAACAAAAACTATAATATAATACTATAATCGTAATACACAAATAAACATACAAGTGACGTTTAATTTTCTACCAATCGTACGAACGAACAAACGAACGAACGATCGATTTATCAATCGATTCGAATAACTTGACCGATGATAGTTCAATCATACTTACACGCATACACGTAGGTATATATACCAAGTGACCCTCGTTTGAATCATTATCGTTAGTTCTTTATTTTTTTTTTTAAAATAGGAATACGATTAAATCCGTTAAACCAAAAATGCCGGTGCTAATGATCAAGTGAATCGATTCATTTTAATCGATTGTTACGAGTTAGAAGAGAAATGTATGTTTCATATAGAACAAATATTACTACGGAAGAGAAGGTAAAATTAGAATACACCTACTACTACTACTACTACTACTACTATATTACTCGTACGTTTTCGTCGCGTAAACATCATCATCATCATCATAATCTCGTATACGTATTATTATTTTTCTCAGCTTTTCCTCTTTCCTCAATTTTACCCCTTCCCCTCCCCCTCCTCCTCTCCACCAACTCTTCCACTATTTAAATCTCAGCTTTCTTTTCCTTCCCCCTCTCTCTTTCTTTCTTGATCTTTTTTAATTGAATCTATATATTTGCGAATTTATATCATTTTATTTCTATTGAACGAATTTTAAACGTATGCTAATAAACAAAAAAGACGATGTCATATTCGTCAATGTTCGAATTTATAATTAATATTAATAATACGCGATATATATTATTTTCTATGTATTTTTCCTTTTTTCTTGGCGTAGTTCGGCAAACTTATTATTTTTACGTGACTTTGATAAGCTTATAAGAAAGGAAGAAAGAAAGAAAGAAAGGAAGGAGGGAAGGAAGGAAAGAAAAGTTTGGTGAAAATAAAAAAGTAACTACAACTTTTCGAAAGTTTCCATTGCGACGATCGAACTAACGCACGCCAATCTCGTTGGAATTTCTTATGGGTTTTTTTTTTTTTTTTTTTAATGTACGACAAAACAAAAAATCTTTTTTTACGATTTTTTCTTCATTTAACTTCTAACATTTGTTTTTCATCACCACACACTTCATTCTCTTTATTTTCTTATCGTACGTTTTTATAAAAATAATATCACGTTAATTAAAAAACGATAAACCCCGTCGTTTAAATATCATATATTTCAAATTTTTCTATCGATCAATAATAATAATAATATAATAAAATGGAAAAAAATATCGTTAAATCGTAGGATTATTTTTGTTTGTTGGTTTTTTCTTAACGAATTAACCTTAGACTTGGTAAAACATCGAAGAAGTCAAGCTAAACGACGTCAAATTCCTTTCGTCCGACGAATCGTAAAAGTTAACGGTGCCAAATTTCTATTTTTACATTTTGAGTTAGTGTCGGTCAAGTTAATGAATGACAGAGAGAAAACACGTTGAGTGTCCGATCGGCATTTAATAAAAATCCAATAGGTATTTGTCTTTCTCAAATTCATCTCATGATTTATAATATATAATATCTACGAATTGTTTCTCTTTTTTTTTCCTATTCTTTTTTTATCATTATTATTATTATTATTATTGCGGTTTGACTCGAGTTACCATCGTAATATTATAATGCAATCCTTTATTCACGGAAGAAATAATGTTATATATTCGAAAACAAATACTACGATTGAAAATCTTTTTCCTATACAGGAAAACGTAATAATAATAATAATAGTAATAATAATAATAATAATAATAATGTGAACAAAATATTAAATATCATAGTGCATAAATATTTCTAAAAGAAAAGAAAAAAAATTCTATATATTTAAACGAAATAACATTGAATAAAAGGCTTTTCTTATTTGGTATAATACAACTGGATGATAGCGTGAGTGTGATACCACACACTAAAGCATTTACGGTCAACACGAGATCTCATTGTAATTGCTAATATCATTCCGATTAGTTTATACGAATCGAGGATGTGACTCGATATCAGCTATTAGCATTAGAAACACCGATGATTTATATGCCTCGGTATGATGAATCATTTTACTTTTTTACTATTACTAAGAATTCCCCAACATAGGGGGAGGGGGGAAAGTTTTACACGAAATGTTATAATAATACGAAAAAAGCTTTTAATAATAATTATTAAAATTTATCTCTCCGATCTCGTTTAATATTAATTATTTATTTATATATATATATAAATATAAAAATATTGATTAAAAAAAAAAAAGCAACCGTTACGTGGTACGTGTACGTTAATTTGGTTTCATCCCGATATTGCGCAAACGCCAGCAAAATTTCAAAGAGAAGAAAAATGAGTGAAGTTGAATGCATCTATATATCGACGTATATCGGTTTACTTTACGAGTTAAAATCCATTTGAGTTTGCTTAAACAGTCAATTTTTTGTGTTTGGAATTTTTTATCTTCTTTTTTTTTTCATTTTTAATATACCTCGCCAATATTTTTTCGCAAGCTAAGGTATACGTTTTTATTCCGCGTATATTTTAATCTTTCTTTTTATTTTTCGCTTTTCTTTTCTTTTTAAATCCGCATACTAATTATATAATATTTCTCAAATTGTGTGTACACAATTTGAAACCATTAATAACAAATGAAAGAAACAAGAATCGAGAGGATTTAAAAATTTCGACGATAGATAATAACAATTAAAGATTTATAAACAAACAAGGTTGAGTGAGGGGGAGGGGGTGGATCGTAGTAACAATTGAGAAAAAAAAAACAATTTAATAAGACGTTACACGGTATGTTACTCCTTTTTCGTTTTTTTTTTTTTTTTAATAAATATACTCGACACAGAGAGTAGTCAACTTTTCTTGCTCTCTCACTCTCCGTTCATTTTCTTTCTACTCGTAAGAGAGAGAGAGAGAGAAGAATAAGAAAAAAAAGTGAGATAAAAAACGATGAAACATCGTTTCGTTATAGAAGTTTCTTCTGAACTATACTATACTCTGACTTCCGCGAAAAGTTTGGCCGTTCTTGAGAGTGGGATGAGGTAAAGAGGTTTAGGGAAGGGGGAGGGGGGGGTGAGGCAAGTATAGAAAAAGTGAAGCATATGCGAAAGCATCTGGCGTTATCAAAAACGTCTCTAATGTGCAACCGTCGGATAAGTCAGATAATCTGTCGGACATGAAACGTATCATAAAGTTTTTTACCATTCGAGTATCCTATTTCCTTTTCTTTCTCTCTTTCTCTCTTTCTCTCTATCTTCGTTAAATGTTTCAGGGTCATTCGACAAGAAATAAAACGTTTCACATCTCTTCTTCTTCTTCTTCTTTTGAGATATTATATTTTGTACGCGTATTATAAATTGTAAGCTTATATTGTGTTTTAAGGGTTTAAAAAAAAGGACGACCTTTTTAAAATCTACTTTTTGTTTTTGTTTTTTTTTTAAATCTTCTATTACATACTTTTTCTTTTTTTAATCTTTGTCATCGGACAAGATATTTTGCAAATTATTTTTCCGTAAAATGTTTACTACGATTACACATAAGCTTTTGTCACGTATCACAGCGTATAAAATACTATAGTGTGATATAAATATATAATATAATACACACGGTATATATTCTTACAAGAGTTTATATCCTAGTATTATAAACTCCTTTTCCCCTCTTTCCTATCTTTATCATAGATAGCAGCATAGTGTTTTCGCCATCTCGTTTCTGTCAGAAACGTTCGAAGTGGATTTGCATTGTAAAGCCAAAAGCTTCTCTCTCTCTCTCTCTCTCTCACTCTCATTCTGTTAACGTTCTACGTACGCAATTTCGCTCGTTTGCACGGTTACTATGGAATTATAAGATCCGTTCTCTCGTTCTCTTTCTCTATTCCCCATTTTCCTTCCTTCCTTCCTTCCTTCCTTCCTTCCTTCCTTCCTTCTTCGTTAAGTAAGCGTAGTAGCTAGCTAGAAAGCTAGCTCTAGCTAACAGCAAAGGTGGCGACCAAGTCTCTGAAGGAACAACCGATCCTCGGATTCAAATTTGCTTGCAAGATACTATAATATAATTTCTCGAAAATGTATGCGACACCAACACGTAGAAATCCAGCAAACAACTCCGATCGAGATGTAAACCTTGAACAAAACTTGTTGTGAAAAGGGTTGGGTTGTTTTTTTTTTTTTGGAATATAATCCAAAAGGGTAGATAAAGTATCCTAGATAACACTATAAACCCTAAAATACGTAGTCTTAACTTTAGGGATTAGACACACACATACACACACACACCCACATACATATCATACACATATACACTAGTCGAACGAAACAAAAACTTTCTTTTTTTTTGTCCGACCTTTTTTTTCTTCGATCAAACGCGACTGACTCTCTTTCTTTTCTTTCTTTTTTTTTTTTTTACTAAACTTTCTCGGCACCTCTGTCTTTCTTTCTCTCTCTCTCTCTCTCTCTCTCACTCTCTTGAAACTTTTTAATTAATCTCCCGTGCTGGCCGCGTGAGCCGTTGGGAGGTTAAAGGTCGCACTTGCGAATTGCTTTAAACCAACAGTTTGACCTAACCATCGTATACCTACCTACCTATCCTACCTATCCTTAACCAAGCCTCAAGCGTACGTTATTTGATCGACAAATAAAAATAAAAGGAAACCTTTTTAACGTTTACTTCAATCTTTTTCTTTATAACTTTCATTCGAAAGCAAACGTTATTCCTCTTATCTTTTTTCTTTCAATCATAGTTTTAATTCTTCTTACATTAGGATATTGATCTTTTCTTTTTTTTTTTCTAATTTATCATTAACAATCGATATTAACGTCATTTTTAATTAATATTAAATATATATAAGGTTAGCTTATAAAAGTGATATTTAATCTTACGATAAAACATAATAATTAACACAAAATTGCAACTTATATCGTACGAGAGAGATTATTCCTCCAATGAATTATTTTCTTTCAATTATGTTTAATGTTCGTTTAATTACTTTGAATAATTTGTTCTATTAAAATGTTTAATTATTTTAATAAAAAATAAATGAAAAATATTACGACCCAAGGAAGATGGAATAAATTAATATGCGTCTTTAGTTAATCGTTTCGTTACACGCATATATGCGTTCAGAGCATTCGAAAGGGTTAAAAAAGAAAGATGTTTTCGGTATATTAAAGTTACCAACAACGAAAAAAATATAAGT